CTTACACTGTTGGTGGGAATGCAAGCTGGTGTAGCCACTCTGGAAAACAGCATGGAGATTCCTCAAAAAGTTGAAAATAGAGCTACTTTACAACCCAGAAATTGCACTACTGGGTATTCACCCTAAAGATACAAATGTACTGATCCGAAGGGGCACGTGCACTCAAATATTTATAGCAGCAATGTCCACAATAGCCAAACTATGGAAAGAACCTAGATGTCCATCAACAGATGAATGGAAAAAGAAGATTGGTATATATATACAATGGAATACTATGCAGCCATCAAAAGAAATGAAATCTAGTCATTTGCAACGTGGACGGAACTAGAGGGTATTGTGCTGAACAAAATAAGCCAATCAGAGAAAGATAATTATTGCATGATCTCTCTGATATGAGGAATTTGAGAGGCAGAGTGAGGGGTTTGGGGGTTAGGGAAGGAAAAAATGAAACAAGATGGGATTGGGAGGGAGACAAACCATAACAGACTCTTACAAAACAGACTGAGGGTTGCTGGGGGAGTGGTGGAGAGGGTGGTTGGGTTATGGACACTGGGGAGGGTATGTGATATGGTGAGTGCTGTGAAGTGTGTAAACCTAAAGATTCACAGACCTGTACCCCTGTGATAAATAATACATTATATGTTAATAAAAATAATTTAAAAATATATAATGCAGAATGAGTGTTTTAATAGCATGGGAAGAGCAGTTAACAAAATTCTTTATACTACATGGTCTCTATTGTGTAAAAAACAATGCCCATTAAAAAGACTGGAAAGAAATTTGCATAAACTTAACTGGAACTGAGCAGTAATTTTTCTATATCCACAGTCTTCTTTACATGCAAATGTTTTACACTGTCATCTTACTTCATTTGTAGTAAGAAAAATATTCAATAGTGGTTTTAGTACAATATTATAAGTACACTAATAGAACTATTTATAAAAAGGTTTAATATTGGTATCAAAGAGTATCATTTGTTTTGGGAAGTTTGAATTAAGTTCTGGGAAGCAAGATATTTCAAATATAGCCTAATATAATACAGCAACAGTTTATCAGAAAGAGGACATATTGTTCTTTCAACTGCCAGAAAGTAAGACCAAGCATGTATCACTAGGGGAATTTAAACAGTTCTATATGACTAGAATAAAGGCTGCAAAAACGGCAAGAAAAGCAGGAGAAATAATGTTTACACACACGTGTTGGGTTCAGATGGTATATGAAGGAGTCCAGAGTTTTTAGGATGAAGAAAATCTAAACCTAGCCAGGTTAGATAACTTGTTTCAATGTTTAATTTCAATACTAAGTAACTCTTGACCCACAACAACCATATTTGGATACTTTCTTTCAAATACTTAAACCTAACTAATTTTTCTCCTTTAAACTAAACTGTAGGGGCAGCTGGATGGCACCGTCAATTAAGCAGCAGACTCTTGGTTTCTGCTCAGGTGATGATCTCAGGGTTTCAAGATCAAGCCCCATCTTGGGCTCTGCACTCAACATGGGGTCTGCTTCAGATTCTCTTTCTTGATTCTGGCAGGGTAGAAGTGCAAATCCACTCCTTAAGAAACTCCCTTGAGTTTTATACTCAAACAAAGGCAAACAATTTGAGAATTGTTTATTCATTCAAACAAGCTGATCCTAAGTTAAGAATAGTAAGGATCTATTCGCCTAAAGCCACTCTTATCACCCCCACCCCTTGGTTAGTTGGTATAGAAATTCTTCAAGGACAGGGATGGTTATGAAAGTCAACAGCTTCACTGCTGGAAGGGGCTAACTTGATTTGAAGCAAAGGGTCAAAAACCCACACAGAGCATTATCAGTAAAAGTAGAAAACAAACAAAGTCAGCAGCTATGCCAGCCTGAGGTTGCAGCTTTAGTTGGGCTGAGCTACGTGCAGACTGGAGAATTAGTAAAAAATTTAACCAGAAAAGTCCTGAAAATGAGAAAGGCATACAGGTGTTTCGTAAGATCTCCACATAGCCTTGAATGATCTGGAGACTAAGTGAACATGCACAGGAGCTCCAAGAGGGTCTGGTGAAAAGTATATGGTTAGGGAGACTGGAAAACTGCCTAAGTTTTTAAAGCACTCCCTAATCAACATACACCCACTCGTAGAGGGTAGAAGCCTATCTGGCTTGAGATATTCGAGTAGAACCTGTGCTATCAATGACCACTAAGCTATGCAGAGGAAACAAGCCTAAAAAATAAAAATGACAATACCATACAAGCTGCAAAGGCAGATCCCACAGATTAAGCCCTAGCAAATTACTAAAAAACCACCACCACCACCCTACTTTGGGGGAAAACCCCAAATGAGAGTTTCTACAATGTATTATCAAAAATACATTGGGTAACTTTTAACAAAATAATTATGAGACATACAAACAAAAACAGGAAAGTGTGGTCCATACCCAAGAAAAACAGTAGTAAATAAAAAATGACTCTGAGTAAGTAAGCTCAAATGTTGAATTTAACAAAGACTTCAAATTAACTATTATAAAAATGTTCCAAGAATTGAAAGAAAACATGTTTAGAGAAGTAAAGGAAAATATGATGACAGTGATACAACAAGTAAGGTAATCTCAACAGTAAAATAGTATAAAAAAGAACCATATAGAAATTCAAGGGTTGATATTTTCTAGATGTACCTATCTTTGATAGCAGTGTAACTATATTTTTATATTGTCATTTTAAAAATATTCAAGAATGTTCATAACACTCTGAGTTACAGGATGTTCAGTAACATCCTGCTTTGTAAGCTCTGCAGTAACCTTTGCAAAAAGGTAAAAAAAGATGCCTTAATCCTTTCCTACTGAACTAATCAAATGTATTCAATTAATTTTCAAATGAAACTGCTTACAACTGATTAGAGAGTATTGTCAACATGGTGTAAAATCAAAGTAGCCAGAGGTAACACTATGTTCGATATCTATAAAATTAAATTGTTAAGAAGCTAATACATTTTATTTTCATGGTTAGCTTTCAGTGTCTATCAAGAATGTTTCTAGAATTATTCAAGTGTCGCATTTTCAAGAGATTAATAAAGTATTACTTGATACTACAAATCAATTCTGGTACTAAGGTATATAAATAATTTTAATACTACTATTCATTAGATTATAATACGTATGTGCTTATATATATAAATATAGAACAAAATACTATTCACCCATAAAAAAGAATGAAATCCTGCCATTTTTAGTAACATGGATGGATCTTCAGGCCATTATGCTAAGTGAATTAAGTCAGAGAAAGACAATCTAAGACAAATACTTATACATGGAATCTAAGAGAAACTAAACTCATAGAAACAGAGATGTGACCATGGTTACCAGAGGGGGTGATAAGGGTTGGAGTAGAGAAATTGGGTGAAAGATACAAACTTCCAGTTATATGTAAGTTAAAGGGATGAACGGTATACCATGACGACTATAGTTAACACTACACTGTATATTTCAAAGTTGCTAAAAGAATGGATCTTAAAAGTTTTCACAAGAAAAAAAAATTCTAACTGTGAGGTGATGGATAGTAACCAAACTGGAAAATATCCAATTACTTACTAAATAAGTAAAATTTGAGCCTATGCATACATATATTACTAGTAGGCAGATTTTCCTATTAATGATAAAACAATGGCAACTGGCTCTATTAATAATCTTCCATTATTCCTTGTGATTTCTTAATTAGTGGATACCGACTTTAAATTAAACACAGTTTAAAATGGATTTTGTTATTTTGATTCTTTGCATTCCCGTAAGAGTAATTACATTTAAGAAACTATTCTTTCTCATTTTTCCTGAATACAATCTATTAAAGAACCACTAGTTTTCCAGATATCCCTTAAAATTTATGCTCGTTTTCTACCTAGTAATATTACAAATATGTATTTTTCAGCCTAATCTATTACCAGGGGAGCAAGCAAACAGCCCACTACTTATGGTAAATCATTACGCTATTTTACATTATTTATACAGCTATCCAGGATGACGTTAATAACTGGAATAGAAAAAGTATACTTACTCAGTTATAAATTCAGGGTTTGTAAAGCTAAGGTTGGTTAAATGACCTTCAAGTTTAGAAGACTCGTGTGTATTTAAGGCTGGAGTGGTCTTAGTGGCGAGTACAGCTCTTTTTTCATCTTTTTCAAGTGCTTTTCTCTTCCCACCATTTTGGAAATATTCTCTGCATACACTACAAGGCAAAATAAAATTATATTTTAAAACACTAAATATAAATATAAAACAAAGTGGGAAAACATTAGCCTTTATTAATCAAAATGAGAAATTTCAATTACAAATTCTTACTTTGAAAATGTCACATAGAGGGGCACCTGGGTGGCTCAGTGGGTTAAAGCCTCTGCCTTTGGCTTAGGTCATGATCCCAGGGTCCCGGGATCAAGCCCCACATCAGCCCCACATGGGGCTCTCTGCTGGGCAGGGAGCCTGCTTCTCTCCCTCTCTGCCTGCCTCTCTGCCTACTTATGATCTCTCTGTCAAATACATAAATTTAAAAAAAAAAAAAAAAGAAAGAAAATTTCACATAGAGGTTAAGTTTGAGCACCTGTAGCACCTTTAACTACCATACAACAAAGCATAATCATAGATTATATTTAATAAATAAAGAGTATGTTGGAGTGCCTGGGTGGCACAGTTGGTTCACATCTGATTTGGTTTCAGCTCAGGTGGTGACCTCAGGGTCGTGAGATTGGCCCTGTGCCAGGCTCCGTGCTCAGCAGAGCCTGCTTTGGATTCTCTCTCCCTCTGTCTCTCCCACTTGTGTGCTCTCAATCTCATTAAAAAAAAAAAAAAAAAAAAAGTATGTTTTCAAGGGTACTGATGTGCCTGTATGTTTTGCTGAACTGTATTCTTAACTAAAACATAAGTTCCTCCAGAAAAGCTTAGATAACTCTGCTATTCAGTGAGAGCATACAAAAAGAATAGTCATTACAGTTAATTCTGAGCCAGCTTTGCTGGTGATAGACAGATATCCTAAGAGTTGTTTCTTAGATCCCTGCTGGTTTATGAAAACAAAGTCAGGATGTCAACATATTAAGAATCATTAATCTTATTTGCTGTGAGAGAAGGGAACAAAAATCTAGTTCAGGTAAAAATGGTACTGTCATTACAGGTAAACATTCAGAGAACAAAAGTTTAAATGTAAGAGTGGTTTCTGTAACACCTGGAAATTATTCTTAACCATTAACAAGAGATCATTCCTGCTTGTCCCAATTCTTTCACTATTAAAATTAAGTGTTTTTGAAGGTCTGTCATTTTAAGCTCATACAGTTTAGAACACAACAGGTTGCTATCCAGAATCAGAAACTGATGATTGACATAACCTTATAAACAATTTTCTTCATACCTAATACAATTTTAGAGTGAATATAGTAGGGTACCATGCCTGGATATGTAATAGGACAGCAAACATGAATCACAGAATCAAATCAAATATTTATTAGCTATTAAAGAAAGGAATCTTTTTTTTTTTTTAAAGATTTTATTTATTTATTTGACAGACAGAGATCACAAGTAGGCAAAGAGGCAGGCAGAGAGAGGGAGGAAGGGAAGCAGGCACCCTGCTGAGCAGAGAGCCCGATGTGGGGCTTGATCCCAGGACCCTGGGATCATGACCTGAGCCGAAGGCAGCGGCTTTAACCCACTGAGCCACCCAGGCGCCCCTAAAGAAAGGAATCTTAAGGTAAAACAGACTAATCTAGCTCTGGCCCTTGAGTTTACACTGTGACAGGAAATACACATATGAAAACATATAATTATAAATATAAATATAATTATAAACATATATATAAACATATAATTATCAAAGCTACTTAAAATGTAGGAGAATGGAATCTTAAAAAATTTTCTTTTTAGATCTTTAAAACACATTATTAGTACATAGAGATCATATTTGAACAAAGCTAGACTATTTTTCTCCACAGACACTGCTTGGTGAATTTCTAGAAATATATGGCAAGAGAAGAATTGAATCATTAACTTAAAACTGGTTTCTGCAAGCAGAGCTATGGTCTAATGCCCATCTCTCCTCACACTTAAAGGATGCTATTCATTCAACTTTAGTTTTCTTAGTAACTACTATGAAGACTTAGAAAAAAAAGACTTCTTTAATTTTTCCTATGTAGACTTAGTTTTGATTCTTATATACAGGAGTTAAAACCTATTCTTCATAAATCAAATACTTATTAAATATTAAGAACAGAGAGCTCCCATGTGCCAGGCACATCTGTGATGTGAAAACAAATTGAAGAAGTCACTGCTGTCCCCAGGGAGTTCAGACTAATGATGACAATTATACAACAATAAAGAAAACAAAATTGATAAAGATAAAATACAATTGATAAACAACCCAATCAGTAATATACGCTGACTTTAAAAATATGAGTAGGAATAAATCAGGCAAGGAAGAATGTTAATTTAGGGGTAAGTGCTTTCCTGGCTGAGAGAATAGTATGAGTAAAAGCACAGAAAATAAAAAGCATCATGGATCCTGCAGAGATGGACACCCATTCAAGGTACGTGAAATGTAAAGTGCCGAGTAGAAAACGGATGGATGGACTCACAAGTACAAATGCCCGGAGGCCAACACAAATATAGCAGGGAAAGGTAACTAGTTGATACTGGAGTAATAAGTAAGCCTCAGATCTGGCAAGATTAAAAGGCTAATTTAAAGATGTAGACTTTAGACATCTAATTTAATGACAGAAAGCAGTTTACAGATTTCCTGGGGTGGGGCTAAAACTGCAAAAGTGCTGAATGGAGCTTTTTAATGTGATGGAAATACTGACAGTAGTGGTGGTTACAGAAGTGTAAAAATTGTCCATATCCACTGAATTGTATGCTAAAATGGGTGCCATTTTATTGTATATAATTAAACCTCAGTAAAATTGGTAAAAAATGTAGCCTTTATAACCCTAGAATGAATACTAAAAACAATGCCTCTCCAATATGTAACATTTCACTAAGGCATGAAACAAAGAGTAAAGAGCTTGCTTACCTTTCTATTGGGTAGCACCATATACAACTACTGATATTCAAGAATTCTTGAATTATAAAAATAGCAATTTTACATGGTTTAACGTCATAGTTATCTAGAAACTTCGTAGCAAAATACTTAGAGAGCTAGAATTCCAGATTCTCATAAAATATCAGCCATCTAAATTCCAATCTCCCTATACACTTTCCAAAGAACATACAGATATTTCAGTGTAGCACATACACATAAAAGCACATACAGTTCATGCCTATGGCATAACTAGGAACCAGAACAGCACTTCATTTTAGATGTAACTGGAAAATAAAAACCAGAGGCCAACTGAATTGGCTTTGGAGTTCCCCAAAGTACAGTCAGATGAGGACTCTATAAAAGAGGGTAAGATATCATGGAGTATTAAAAGTGGCAAAAAACCAGATTAAAACCAGTAAGATATACCATCCAAGAGAGGGGTCCAAGAGAGAGGAAATTTTAAGAAAAGATTTGGGACATTGTGAACTAGAGCATTAGCCACTGGAAGGTCAAGAGGACAATATACACAGACATACACAAAAAGTATATGTCACCAAAAAGAAGAGCCTTGAAAAGACTGCTTCTGGGGAAGAAAAGAGGCACCTTGAATAAAGGAGGTATCTCTGGAGACTTGGTGATAAAGGAAAAAAATGAAGCAATTAAGGAAAATGAGATGTTATAATCTACACATAGTAAGAAAATCATACGTCAGACCAAAAGAGGACAATATTTATTAAGGGAACCATACTTTTGTATTTGTAGCAAACAAGCAAGGTTCTTTGGATTTAAAGAACAGAGTAATCCACACAAACTCCTATCTACCCACCTACAGACACTCTAACATAATAGACAAATACATGAAAGAAATGCCCAATGAACCCAGAAACCAGAAAAGGTTCTATTAGAGGGAAAGAGAAAAATAATCAAAACTTTTCAGTGAATGAAAATTCTCAAAAACACAGAGCCAAAAACAGCCATAAAAGAGAAAAATACTAACACTTTAATATTAATTACACATAATTTAGTAAGCAACTGCAGATATGAAAGAACTTTTCAAATCTGAAATAAAACTGAGAGCAAAAAGGAATGGAGAGATATTCCATAAATATGGACAGAAAGATACAATACAGTCACAACAGCAGTCTTTCCCAAATTGATCTACAAATTCAATACAATCCCAATCAAAATCACAGCAAATTATTTTGTGGATACCAACAAACCAATTTTGAAGTTTATATGGAGAGGTAAAAGATCCAGAATAGCCAATACAATATTGAAGGAGAAAAACAAAGTTGGAGGACTGACCACTATCTGACTTCCTATAACTTACTATAAAGTTACAGTGATCAGAACGGTGTGGTGTTGGTGAAAGAATGGACAACTAGATCCATGGAACAAAAGAGCAAAGCAATACAATGGGGGTAAAGACAGTCTTTTCACCAAATGATGCTGGGATGACAACTAAATACTAAAAAATGAACCTAAACATAGACATTACACCCTTCACAACAATTTACTCAAAATGGATCACAGTAAAACACAAACCTACAAACTCTTAAAAGGTTTTATAAATTTCCTAGGAGAAAATCTGGGTGACCCTGGGCTTGGCAATGACTTTTGTGATATAACACCAAAGTCAAGATCCATGAAAGAAAGAATTGAGAATTAGACTTCATTAGAATTAAAAACTGCTCTGCAGAAGAGAATGAGAGAATGAGAAAAGAATGAGAACACAAACCACAGACTGGGAGAAAATCCCTGCAAAGGCATAGCTGATGAAGGACTCCTATCTGAAATATACGAAGAACTCTTAAATCTTAATAATAAGAAAACAAACAACCTAGTTTAAAAATAAGCAAAAAAAAAAAAAAAAAAAACCTGAATAGATACCTTACCACAGAAGATATACAGATAGGAAATAAGCATATGAAAAGATGCTCCAGGTCATATGTCATTAGCGAAATGCAAATTAAAATTGCAATATACTACTACACACAAATAGCATAGACAAAATCCTGAACATCAAAACCACCAACTGCTGATAAAGATGTGGGGCAACAAGAACTCTTATTCATTACTAGTGGGAATACAAAGTGAAAAACTAAACATATTTTTACCATACAATACAGCAATCACACTCCTTGATATTTGCCCCCCACAAAATGAAAACT